TGGGTGAGACTGGGAGAAGGAGAGTGTTTTCTGCAGCCTTCTCCAGGCATTCCATGCTGGAAAAAGACAGCTCACCTGCCTGGGAAAGTGTTCTTTCTCTCCACTAGCCCAGTGTGGAGGTTGCTGGCTGGCAGACTGTGTCCTGCTGCGTGGGCAGATGTTAGCCAACCTGTCTCACCGTGGTGGTTCTGATATCAGCCATCACCACCTCTCCAGATCTCCAGTGGCTGTTTCATCCAGAGAGGTCCTGACCCAGGTTCCAAGCTTAATTTTTAAACCAGTTTTCTCCCTGTGTCTCAGCACTGTCTGGTTTCAGCTGTGATGGGAATCAGAAGTGACAACACACCACAAGGGAGCTGTTCCTGTGGGGTTTGCATCATGCCTCAAGCCAGACCAGGAACCTCCCTGGAGAAGCTGATCTCCCAGACCCACGGATGACTCAGCTGACACCAGGCACTGCTGGACAGAGCATCTCAGCTCCCTGAATCAAGGAGCTATGCAGGGTTTTGCCATTCACCTCTCAGCATTCCACAGTGTTTGCTGAGCCAGATGTGATGGAGAGGGTGACCTGGTGGCTCTGTGCAGAGGCAGGACATACCTTTCTGCATGAAGTCACACACAGCCACAGGTCACAGAGAAGCTGACTAATATTTGCCTCAGCAAGCTGACTCTGTTGTGTGACTGCAGTGTCCCTTGGGAACATCCCATGGCTGCTGTGAAAAAGGCAATTGTATCAGAAGAGATGTTATTTTTCAGTGACATTGTAGGTGCTCACAGAACAGCTCACAGGGATCTCTCAGGCTGAATGGACACAGCAGATGTGTTGCTGCAGCCAAATACAGATATTTCCAAATTAACATGGCTATTAAATGATGACATGAGATAACAGCAATCTGAGAAGCACACAGACAAAAATCTAGTGAGACCAAATACCTGTTTTGGACCAAACCAGAGTTTTTTGGTCTGATTTTTAAATGCAGTGATTGAAAGAACCTTTTTGCACAGCCTCTCTTGCTGTTTCAAAGCTCAGCACAGAAAGCTGATAGAGACACAGAAATGTAGGTGCAGCTTACTAAGTGTGTCTTCTAAATATCAAAAGCAAAAGGATCCTGACATTAGGACAAGATGAGATGAAAGACTAAAGCCACTGTGCTCGAAGGCCCTGGCAGGCACAGCAAGTCTGTCCGTGGCACCCGAGCTGTGGGTGAGCACCACGAGGAGGAGAGGGGCCCCAGCCACAGTGTGATTCCACCAGCTCCATGTCCTCACAATGATGGGGCTGTGCCATGGACCCCAACACCCTCTTAAGTGCCTGCCCATTCCTCCGTGGAAATGTGGCTCCCAACATTCCCTGACAGGTACTGTCCCACAGCTTCTCCTGCCTCTGTTCCAAAACTGCACCAAAATCACTCCAAGCTGCCTGTTCCCTGGGCCACTCAGCTGGGAAAACCTGGTCCTGCTTCATGCCAGGGCACCACAACAGGGTGTCTTTCAGGAGATGCAAGACTACAGCTGCCCAAATCAAGGTGTCTGAGCAAACGCCCCTCAGCCTTAGCCAAGACCCTTGTCAAGGGGTGGCAGAAACACTTTTCTACCCTGCTTTGCTGATGCACCCTCTGCAGCCACCTTCACCCAGCCTGTAACCCTGGCATCACCCACCCATTGAGCATCCCTCTGTGGCAGCACAGCTCCTCCAGCTGCTTCCCTTCCCATCCCACACAGATGCTTCTCCACAGGGCCCTGCACCTGCTGCCAGCCCAGCCCAAGCCCATATCACCACACACACACACTGCCCACAGCACACCCCACTGCCAGGCAGGGCTTCAGTGCAATTGATGCTCCTGCTTCTCAGCAGCAACACAGAGATGAGAAGTGCTCTGCATCCTGCAACCTCTGGAGCAGGAGAGCAGGTGTCCAGCCTGTCCAGCACCACACACCTGCACAGAGTTCTCCACACCATCCTCCTCAGACCTGTCTCTGCCTTTCCCTGTGACCCCAACAAAGGGGGCAGGATGGGTGTGTGGCATGGTTGGAGTCTTTGAGCCTCTCTAACAGATCTTGAAATGTTTTACATCTGCAATCTCAGGAACAAACAGCAGCTTCCTTCTAGCCCTTGGAGTCCCCTCACACCAAATTCCATCTCCCCTTCACCTTTTGCAAGAATAATGAACAGGACAGGATTCAGACACATGAAGACAGGGATTTATTATCCTATGGGTTTTTTTACAGAAGACCAATGCCCAGCTACCTCTGTGATTCCTATAGGCCAGGAACACAGCAGCTCCTCCTTAGACACAGGGTCTTTTTCCATAGGCCTCCTTCTCTTAATCAGCTGTGTCTTCTGCTTCAAATTCTGGTTGGGAACCAAGACTAAGGCTCACCAGCAGTAAAGCCTCATGCCTGCTTTGCAGCCCAGCTCACTGCAGCAGCAGCACCACACTGTGGTCTGCTGCCACTGAGATTGAACTGGGAAGGGAAGGGGTGAAAGGCAGTGAGAAGTCATCAAGCAGGTTTGAACATGAGCCAGTACTTCTTGAACTCAATGCATTCTATACTCATATCATCCTCAATTAGTTGGTATACATAAGTCATGACCGTGGAAACCTGGATATCCATCTGTACAAATGAAGGGGTAATGTTCCTGGAAAGAAGACATACTTTGTAATCTTCCTAATTAGCCCGCAATTATTGCTATTAACATACCATATACTTACGTATTCTGATATACTTGGTTGCCCAGGACTGCAGGGATGTGGGAAACACTGCAGGGTCTGCAGGCACTGACAACAGCGTCTTAGGCAGAGCTGCACTTAGCCTAGAACAGCCCAAGCCACATCAGGCTCAGACATTAAAGCTGACAGGGCCTCCAGAAGTCTGATTTCCTGCAGAACATTAGAATGCAGCTTCTGGGAAGATACCAGGAAGCAAAATGACTTCAAGAAGCTGCTGCAAGTCACCCCCCTCCAGGCCCAGGAAGCAGCCCCAGGCACACCAATGCGAGCCTGTCATGCCCAACACATGGGCTAAGGAAACCCTGCTAACAGGGAGCCCCACTGAATTCCTCTGGAAGGGAGAGAGTCAGCCTCCTGCTCCTCACAGGCACCTTGTCTGTGCTCTGTGGCACAGTGCCTGGACACTCACAGGTGAATGCACCCAGTTAACACCCACAGGCTCTGCTGTGCTGGGCAGCTCAGCACAGCATTCACGTTTCCAAAGCACTGTAGGCTCCTGCAACTGATCCTGGGCTAATGTAGATTTTGTTTAAATACTTCAAGTCTGTGCATGTGTCCTGAGATAAGAATGTCCACATCCAGCAATGCCAGGCTGGCCCCATCACCCCAGGGAATTACTTGATGGCTGTGAATCAGCCCAATTCTGAACTGCCTGACAGTTACAACTTCTCCTCAGGATAATTCAGAGAAAGAGAGGATAATTCTGAGGAGAAAGGTACAGGCAATAAATCAGCCAAGAATGCCTCACCTACACAATGAAGCTTCCTAGACACAAGCTATTTGAGCACACGAGGTCTCTTTCAATGTGCAGACCGACTGGATGCTTGTACCACACCCCAGCAAGAGCAACTTCAAAGCAAAGAGTAAGGAATTTGCACAGAGATCAGGAGCCTCATGGCTACCTAACAGTAAACAGAGTTCCTGCAGCTACACAGCCAGCTGGAGCCCTCCAGTGGCCTCACTGCAACCACAGACTTGTGGCAGAGTTCATATGAATCAGGTGCATGTATTACCCCCTCCTGGTGCGGGTACAAGAAAGGTCTATAAAATCATTCTGCTTCTTCACTCGTACTTAGTCCTACTTCCTATCCTGGTGAATTACAGTTCAGAAATCGCTAAAGCCGCAGGACTGCCCAGGATTGACTGAGACACCCACAGCATGTGGGAGGATAGGCTGAGGAACCGACAGCAGCAAGAGTGTTACCTCACAGTCCCCTCTAACAACGTGGATATCCCAGCCAGGGTCCCGAGGTACTCATAGCCCCCCTTGGTGCAGAGGTTTCCTGTACACAAGTTGTGCTGAATCCTTCCTGGAACCAGCAGCTTCCTGAACATCCCCAGCAGAGCACTGTGCGGGATGTGAAGATCCCCCAGCACCAACACTGACTCCGCACACACCAAGAGGAAAGAGATAACTTGAACCCAAGTTATTTAGCAGAACAGCACAAACACTGCTGCACTCCAGTGCGCTCACAAAGCCTGACGAACCATCACGGGCACAGCAGGGACCACTTTTAGAGTCACCTCTGAGCAAACAGAGGAAACACCCACGCACTCAGACGAGTGCAGACAGCCCAGCACGGCCCAGCACAGCCCGGCCCAGGACATCCCACCAAAGACACAGCACCTGCTGCTCTCCCTTCTAACTCAGGTACCCCAGGGCAGGGCAACTCTATACACGACATGAGCCACGTAGGTAAGGTTTAACCTTTATTATCGGGTGAGCCAAATGGTGCAGGAGCACAAGCCAGATCAAGGCTGTCTTGTGCCAAGTGCTGGAACAGCCTAGGAAAGCCAGGCCACAGTGGAGATCTCCATCCTCGTGCTGCAGCAGAAGATCCCTGCTCCCGTGTGTTCCTGAGCTGAGCCCTGGCAGGTCTCGCACTGTGTCGGGCTGTCTAATGCTCCATGGAGGACGTTTGCGGTTGAAGAGGAGGTTGCTGCACTGCAGAGCGCGAGGCAGCGTTGCTGGGCCTGCTCAAGCATGCAAGAAGGTCTTTTTCCATCCCTTCTAGGGCTCCCACTCTTCCTGTTGGGGGCTTCGCATCAGGGTCGCAAAGGAAAGCGCAGAAAGCTTTTGTTCCCCACATCTAAAACCAGCTGAAGGCAGGTGACAGGGCACAATAATAGGTGCCATTGTCTTCCTGGCAGGCAGATGCAATGGTGAGGATGCAGGCATTGCTGGCCAGGTCTTTGGTAGCAGAGAAGCGGTCGGGAATCTTGGCAGGCTTGTGCTTTTCTTGCTCAGAGTTGTAATAGAGCAGATACCTCAGGGACTCCCCTGGGCGCTGCTGGTACCAGGTGATGCCAAACTCGCTGATATTGTACTGGGGGCTCAGGGTGCAGAACAGTTGAGCATTCTGCCCCGGCAGCACGAACACGAAGGATGGCTGTGTCAGCACGGGCTGACCCCTGGAAACTGTACACACCAAGGATGCCATTACTGATGGGCTGAGCTGTGTGCCCCATCACCCCCAGCCTCAAAATGTCCCTCAGCTCGAGGTAACCCCCGCACCCAACCACCATCCCTCTCATCACACCATGCAGCCCTGGAGCAAAATGCCCTACTCAGACTAACATCCCTTTCCACAGCCCAGTCCTGCCCACCACCCTGCAGTACCCTCCCAGACAGCAACTCACTTGGCCACACCACCCTTACCTGTCCCCACTGTGCCCACCAGGAGAAGGACCATGAAGCCCAGGGCCATGGCAGAAAGCAGAGGAAGGGAGGCTGTTTCGGAAAGGGTCTGCAGTGCTACACAACCCAGGCTGCTGTGCTGCTGGCGCCAATGGGGTGTATGTAAATGACACAGGGGGCTCAGGGACTCCTGCTCGCCAGGGCTGCTTGTTCTGCTGCAGCTGGGCTCCAGGGAGGGGGTGAGAGCTGAGCACTGTGACCCAGTGCTCACCTCCACCCCAGACCAGGCCAATTCCTCCAGCAGCACAGACACAGCCGCAGCCCACCCCCCCACCCTCTGCCCTAGACACTGGGGAGGCATCACTGACCATCACTCCTCTCTGATGGTGGGAACAGAGAGATTTCCCTGGGGTCTTACACTCAGATCACTTGCCACCAGTCATGCAGGAGCCTGAGCCACACCATGCCAAGGATGTCCTGTGGAGGCAGCAGGCTGGGGGCCTCCTGGCAATGAATGAAAGATGGGACATGGTAGAGTTCCTCAGCAACTGTCTCATCACAGAAGAAATACAAGCAAATTTGCTGCTCCCTTCTCCATGCAGCTCTATTGCTGTGACAGGAACAACTGCCCCATGGCATGAGTTGGGAGCTGCTGATGGTGCTGAGAGCACTGTCTCTTTGCCAGAGCCACCTCAGGAACAGCAGCCATGGGCAAACATGATGGGGTGGCTGCTGTATCACTGGTCAGAAGGCGTTTCCCAAGGGAGCCAGTGCAGCAAGAGATAGCTGCAGCACAGCTGGGGTCTTGTGCGGAAGGACAGCAGACTGTTACAGCTCACCAGGCGTGAAGGCTCTCCTGTGTGTGACACCTGTCACAGAGCCCAGAGACACCATGTCACACAGCCACCAGCTCATGGCTGTCCTTCACAGCAGCATAGTCAGCAGGCACTTTGCAGTGACCATAACTGGTGGGTGCCTCTGCCCTCCACAGGCAGGCTCAGTCCCCACCCAATGCCATCACCACCATCCAGGGATGCCCCACTCCCTCCCCTCTGCAGCACCCAGCCCTGCTCTCAAGGTGTCCCCAGAGATGTTTCCAAGTGGTTCTTGGCATGACTGGCACATGTGTGCTCTGGGTTTGAGGGAAAACGGAGCTGAGTCCTGCCTCATTACCCAGCACCATGTCTCTGACACAGGCAGGTCCTGAAGAGGAAGCACCACCATCACCCATGGAAGCAATGCAGCAAGCTGGACACATGCTCTGCTGTGCCATCCTGCAGAGCTCTGAATGAGAGCTGGTGCACCCAAAACCTTGTCTATCTTCTGCATCCTGGGGCACTCAGAGCAGCTATAACAGAGCAGGGTGGCCACCTCCAGTGCCCTGCAGCAGCAGCAAGGGGCCAGTTAGATCTGATAGCACCTGGCACAGCTGGGCTGCAGGGGCTGCTGCAGGGCAGGAGGGCAGCAAGGGCTGCTGTACACCTGCTGGGGGATGTGGTGCCACATAGCAGTAAAGCCTGGTGGTGTCCCACCTGTCTCCATCTGGGCAAACCTGCTCCATCAGATTTATTAGAGCCAGCCTACAGCAGGCAGCCACAGCTGCATGAGACCAGCCTCAAAGCTCATCCAAGACTGGATCTTTGCCATGATGTCTTCTGGGCTTGTGAAGTCCTGCCCCTGCAGCTGTCAGCAGCTTGTGTTTCATGCAGCCAGGCCCCTGAGCTCATGCAGGTATGAGCATGCAGACACAGCTCCAGCTGTTGCCCACTAGCACTCCCGAGATTCTGCAAGGTAGTGGAAAGATGAACCTGAGTCTCCCTGCACACATGTTGTAGGTCGGGGGTGTCACACATACACCTTGTCCCAAGCTCCAATCCAAATCCATGGATTAGACAGAGACTGGGAATTGAAGCCCAGCACTGAGCGGCGCTCAGTGATTAGGTGGAACTCACACATGCAAAGCAGGTTTTATCCCAGATTGACAGGTCACTGACCAAGCACAGCTATTCCTATCAGGTCAGGGCAAAATGTGGACCAGGACTTTCTGCTGCATCCACCACATTCGCTACTAAGCCCTGTGGTTTCCTCCTGCTCAGCAGTGCAGACACAGCTGCTGTCCTGACAACTGCCCACAGCTCCTCCAGGGCTGTGAAACCCCACTGCTTCATGTTCCAGAGTAGGACCAATGCAGGTAGGGTCATCAGGAGGGTTTTTCCAGTGGTATCCAATCATCTTGCAAAAGAGACCACACTTCCTATGCAGCAGCGCTAGGCTCAGCTCAGAGCAGGGTGGGCAGATAAGGCAGCAACACAGGCCAAATGAGTTGAAGGACAAACAGAGGGGCAGGAAACACCACCAGACTGCAGAAAATCTGAAATTCAGAGCAGCTGAGGTCACATGGAGTAGGCAGCCTTCCCAACAGGCTGCTCTTTAGCTCAGCCCCTGCTCTATCCCACCCTCCC